CTTTAGCTATTCGGGGTCTTTTGTTGTTCCAGATAAATTTTAGGATTCTTTGTTCTATTTCTGTGAAAAATGTTGTTGGAACTTTGATAGGGATTGCATTGAATTTTAATTCCTTTTTTAAATCTAAAGAAAGTAAGTTCCATAAACATGAAATGTCATTAAATGCCATTTCAAATATTTTTCACAGAGCCAGTCCAGACATTGCCAGGTCTAGTGGATTCACTTCAAATTTATCATCAGATCCACTATTTGCACTTAAACACTCAACTAAACATTCAGGAATTTGGGAGCACCAAAAAAGGAGTCTGCAGAAAAGAAGTAAAGCGAGTTTATGTTGATGAACCCAACTGTTCTCTCAGGAGACTGATAAAAGGAGTAAGAAGTTCAGGTTTATATCATCTTATATAAACCAGTCCCTAGTCCTCTGGCCAGCATCCCCTGTCATGTCTTCAACGTCTCTGAAAGAATGTTTGTGACAAACTAAGCAAGAAAGACCTTTTTCTGTGTTCTATCCATTCAGGCCAGTAAATATCTCTGGTTCACAGGCTTGGTTTTTGGGTTTTTTCGTTTATTTTTGTGTGTGTGTGAGGAAGACTGGCTCTGAGCTAATATCCATTGCCAATCCTCCTCTTTTTGCTGAGGAAGATTAGCCTGAGCTAACATCTGTGCCCATCTTCCTTTATTTTGTATGTGGGACGCCACCACAGCACGGGTTGATGAGTGTGGTGCCTTGGTCCGTTCCCAGGATCAGAACCTGCGAACCCTGGGCCACCGAAGCGGAGCGTGCGAACTTAACCACTACACTACCAGGCCGGCCCGAGGTGTGGTTTTTTCAATGACAGCTTTATTGAGATATAATTTACATACCAACAAATTCACCCTTATAAGTGCACAATTCAGTCATTTTTAGTATATTTACAGAGTTGTATATCCATCATCACTATCTAATGTTAGAACATTTTCATCACCCCAAAAAGAAACCCCATATCCATTGATTAATTAAATTGAAGGTAATACCAGATCTTTTAAAAAGCATCCTACTATTCTAACGAAGTATCCAACTAACTTAGTCTTCTTTATCCTACTACTAAAGAACGTAAGTCTATATTCTTATATCCAAGTCTCTAGCTTAGTCAAAAAACAGCAAGATTTGTAGAAGGCAAAAGGCAAAAGAGCCTAAAAAGAAAAGCTAAAAGAGAATAAGAATGCAACATTTCTAGTAAAAAAGTACTCAAAAAATGATGGGGCTATGTCAAAGGACACAAAAGCCACTTAACAGAGCTCCCAATGACAAAAGTTAGAACAACTGAGCAACAAAATAAATGATGATAGTATTTAGATTATAACCCACAGAATAAAATAAATACCTAAAAATTCATACTGACATAAATAAATAACTGAATAAATAAATAATTGGGGGAGAAGGGATAGTGCTTCTTTACAGTAGAATTCAAATTAATAAATGTGGGAGGAATAAGGAAAGCAGAAAATCATTCTTAGAAAGCACCACAGAGCTGCAGGCAAGAGCCATTAATGGGTACTGAAATTAGTGGACAAAAGTATGATGAGAAACAGAACATCTGCACAGTCTCAAAGCATCACTCTATAAGATACTAATCACAAAGCACGTGTTTGACATATGAGGAGCCTGCCTGCAGTACTATCAATAGTTCCATTACAGGACATACTCTCCAAAGGCACCTCTCTTGTGAACAGAATTTAATTTGGACTATCTTTCCTAGATGGTAGATGTTTGCAACTATTGTCACAAAGGGAAAATCAGTTAACTCTACAGTGGAGAAACCTGGTAGACAGTCTTAACCAAGTGGTCAAAGTTAACACACCAGTAACAAGACACATGAACGTCATGGACTCCCTGATCTGATGCACTGAAAATAGTACAACATCGCTTCTGTAGTATTCTTGGGAAAAAGTGCCTTTCTCAGTCTAATAAAAGGAAAACATTAGACAAACCTATACTGAGTGACATTTTACAAAATAACTAACCAGTGCTATCTTTAAAACAGTGTCAGAATCATGACAGATAAAGAAAGACAGGAACTGTCACAGATTGGGAAGACTAAGAAGACGTGACAACTAAATTCAATTTGTATCCTGGATTGGATTCTAGGATACAAAAAAGGACATTAACGGGAAAACTGGTAAAATTCAAGTAAGGCTTGTAGAACAACTAACTATTATAACAATGTTAATTTTCTGTGGTATTTTTGTAAATTTAAATTTATCTCAAAATAAAAAGTTGGGTTTTTTTAATGCAACATTTCTAGGCATGAGATTTTACCATTTCAACCCCATTGTGAAAAATGACTCATTTTGGCTAGCTATTATAATTTTCCTTTGAGGAGAGATTATCAAATGACGTCAGATTCATTATCTCAATACCAACTCTTATAGTACATGCTGGATTGCAGAAGACATAACAAGAAAACAAGTCAATGAATGAAAAACACACTTGCTAAAAACCACATGGCACACTGTTAAAGAGATATGCCCCAAAAAAGACATGAACGTTCTGATCATAAAGCAATGGCCCACAACACAAATAAAACAACTTGAAACATAAAATGTAAAGAACTGGACAAAACCAACTGAATCATCACATCAAGTCATGAAGGTCATGACTTGCATTTTTGTGGTGTTCAATTTTTACGAGTCTGGTAAGAAAGGTTTATTGTTAGATAAAGGTTGGATTGGTTCTGGTACATACCCAGATTTCAAGTCAGTTATCCTCAAACAGTTTGTAGCATCCAGTCCCACTTTTCCATTGCGGACCACACTAGATATGAATGGGGAAAGCATTGGAGAAATTCGGTTCAAGGCGACTTCTGGGGACATTTTAACTTGACTTGCAAATCACCACTGAAAACAGAAGGAAAGAATGGTGATCAGAGTATCCAAAGGAACTACATATAACAAGCTTCCTGAAAACTGGTACAGCACACAGAAGTTTCTCCTACGTGAATAAATACCTCATTTCCTGTCTTATAGTAGCCTCTTCCAGTGATCCTCCAGAAGAAACCATCTTCCTGCTCACCGGTCAGGACACAGACTACACCACTGCTTTTCAGGAACAGAGGCAACCCTTGAAATCCAATTCCCTCCTCCTTTCCAAAGCTGATTTCTACACTGTATTTAAAGTTGTCCCATTCTATCTTACAACTGTCCCTTTCTACTTTAGTTGAGGCCTTAAGAATCCTTCACTGATAATCCTTTCCCCTAACACACAAAATGCCACACCATTAGGTTAGGAATCCTTCCCTCTGTGTCCCCACAAGGAGTAATACCTTGATTGAAAGTACTACATAAAATCCTAGAACAAGCGTAACCTGCTTGCAATTGTTACTTACTAGAAATTATTTACTTCTGAGATACTTCTCTTAATAACTGTCCCTCCACAGTGTATTATAACTACCTGCTTGGTGATCTCTCCCCTGGAAAGACATAACAAACTAAATACCCAATAAACAGTTTTTAATAAATACGTGAATAAGGAGAAATATTTAGATATGGAGAGAAGATAATATGCCCTTGAAAATTTGGTAGAAGATAGTGCATCTGAGGAATAGATGTAGCAAACTCTACTTAACAATTAAATCATGAAAACATACACCAATCCAGATATTAAGCAACACAAACTAACATGGATCTAAAAGTCTTGGATGGTAAAGCACTAAGAAGTTCTTACACTTGAAAATGCAAAAGTAAAACCAATAAATCATATCTAAATTACCTGGAAACCCACAGGGCTGAGGGAGGGGGTACATGAATTCCTCTTAAGAGATTTCTAAATGAAAGCCTCTACTTTCAGAGGTGAATAAGTCAATTTAAATGACCATTTCTTCCTCAATCTGAAAGGATAATCCCACATCAAAAGCAAATTATTTTCCTGAAAGTTACAATTACAAGTAAATGTTCTGGTTCTCGTTTTCATATATTATACCATAGGAGGACTTAGAGGTCCCTGCTACAATAAATGTTGAAAACTAGTAACTGTTTTAATCATTTCAGGTAGTAATAAAGGGAAGGTGATCGTTCCAAAAATAATAACACTGGGACCCTATATAGTGATGACACCCAGCAGTACCCTGGAGGCAGTAAAAGCTTTATACTTTAGTACCCAAGTCATCCTTTCTGCAAAAATAAAACAAGCTTTTCTTCCAACCACTGAACAGATGACCTCCCTCCACCATTCCAATATGTCACCATAGAGTAAGAATAAACATCTAATGCACTATATTATCAATCATAAAAATCATGTACATTTTTATAGCACTTTATCACTTATAAAGAGCTTCCATATACATTATTGCAATTGATCTTCACAAACCTGGGCAGTAAAGAAGTTATTAGAATTTCCACTTTACAGATGATATAGATAACTTTTATAATTTGTCTTTGAAAAATATACTAATCCATATTATCATTTTGAAGCCTATTTTTTTTCTATTCTGCAACATTTCCACCTTTATTTCTACCCACTGATGTCACAGTTCTTGAAAGGATGCTTATCTAGATCATATGCAAATACAGAAACACTCATCTCGGAAAAAAGCAAAAGGATCTCATCTATATTACAAAATTATTCTTCCATGCTTTTTCTCATAAGACCTATTATTACGTTAGCTCTCATTTCTATGAAAAAGGGAAACAGAACCAAAACATTCTGAACATCTGCTCAGTATCAGATACTATACTACCCACCTCTATCTGTAATTTCATTTACTTCCCCCCAACAACCCTGTTCTCTGGTTAATATTATTGTTCCCATTTCACAGATAAGAAAACTAAAGTTCAGCAAGACTAAGTAACTTGTTCCAAGTCAGAAACCTTGCAAGCAGAAGGATCAGAATTCAAATCCAGATCTCCCTCAAAGTCCACTATACTCATCTTCCTCTCAAATAAATATTTAAAACTTCGATCACCAAAGAGAAAGATATCAAAGTGAATTTTTTTAAGTGTATGTTTGTAAAATCTGGGAAAAGTTATAAATTTAAACTAACAGTTGATTTACAACTAGAAGCAATCTAGACCGTTGCTGGCCTCCTGCTGAAACCGGCCTGAGTGATTCACTAGTCAAATGCTGAAGTGAACAAACCTGCTCCAGAAGCCAAACTATACTTGAGGTTGACAACAACCCATTTCCAATTCAGCAACTCTCATGACCTTAGAATGACACTGAAGGAATCAATTTCTGTCTTTGTTTCCAGAACAGCCATAATACTATTTTTTGACAGCTTAAGATTTCATGCAGCGTTAAAATCTGTTTCAACGGGGAGGTATTGTGACTTCTCTGAGAGAGAGGAAAAAAAAATACTGACTCCAAAATCAGAGGCCAAAAACTAGACAAAGAAGATGGTCCTTTGGTGCAGTCCTTTTGGGCCAGGGACATGGATGGGGGATCATCCCCCAGTAGGAGCTTTTACACATCGCAGCACCAGAATAGATCCCGAATAGGCAAAAGTTTACAGTGGCCAGCCTTCCTTGAACGCTAGGTGGGCAATCCGTATTCCCTGATTTTGACGTGTTACAGGAAAAAAACGCAGAAATACAATTTTTACAGGGGTCTGCTGCCCCAATAGGGTCACATAAGGTCCTCTGATGAGCGGCCTGGGGAATACAAAGACGTCTAAACCATCCTCCAGTTTCTTGCAATTAAGATGGGATGACAAACACGGAAACATGTGCCCTGCTGACGTCATGGAACGGAAAGGGGTGGCGTCCTTCTGCGTCACGTCGACGTCATACAGCGCAGGAGGGAAGTTACAGTGGGGAAGCAATTTCTCCAAGGGGCAACTTTCGAGAAAAACAAGGGGCTTAAACCCAAAAAATGACCACCCCACTCTAGGGGGCATCTAAAAGGGGACACTCTCCCTTCTCCCAAATTGTATGATCCCCTCATGAGGCGGAAAGGAAGACGGAGTCTGAGCTTTAACAGGGACCACGGGGCGGGCTAGATATGGAGAAAGAGCAGCCTCTGGCCTTGGGGGCTTTTTCTTGAGGGGACTAGCGTGATGAGGATGAGCAGGGCATCTTTGGAACGGGGGCCTTCTCTATAGGAAGAGGCGAGCCCTGGGCATATTTAAGCCACGAGCCTGATCGCCACCTGTGCAACTCGGGATCCTACCTCCCCGCACCAGCCCCAGTCCAGGTACCTGGAACTTAGTCCGATCGGTAACCGGCGACTACGTGGGGTACAGGTTACCCGAGCGCGCCCCCGACCGACGCACCGACCTGCGCGCGCACCGCAAGCCGGATGCGTGCGCGCCCCCGGACGTCCTGCCCCGCCCCGCCCCGCCCCCTGCCGCCCAGGAGCCGGGCGGCGTGCGCGCCCCCGACCGCGCCGAGCTGGGCGCTCGGAAGGGCGTCCCCGCAGTGCCTGAAAGTTCTTTGCTCAGCGCTTGTCTGGTGCTTGGCGAGCAGCGCGCAGTCTGGGACTATCAGGAGGGCTCTGTAACGAGAGGCGGTGCAGGGCGACAATTCCTGGGAGAACCGGGGGCAGTTGGTGGGCGGGGTTATTTCGGGCATTCAGGTGGGCGACCCGCCGAGGCGGCTGGAAGGCCCGCGTCGTTAGGGAGCGTAGGAGCGGCGTCTCTGGTTACGGGGTGGGGCAAAGGGTAAAGGGCAGCCTTGAGGTTGAAGAGCACCTCTTTTTAGTAATGGCCGCGTCTGGGGAACCCGGGAGGCACTGGCAGGAGGAGGTGGCGGCAGTGGTAGTGGTGGGCTCCTGCATGACCGACCTGGTCAGGTTAGTCCGGGGCCGAGTCTGCCGCTGCGGGAGGGGCGGACTGTGCTCTTCGCGCTGCCTGGGCCCGGGGCTTTGGGGAGGCGAGTGTGCTCTTTGGGTGTGAGCTACAGGTTTCCCCAGCCCGCAGTGGGCCTCGATGGGGTGGGAGAGGCAGAATTTGAGTGTGTAAAGGTAACTGTCTGGTAAGGGACCAGGGAGGCCAGGCTGTACTGAAAGCTCTAAGTTTACTAGAAGCGCCTCCAAAGACCTGTTCCTGTTTTCTTGAGCAGGCTATTGAGCCTCCCGACTAGTCGAGTGAGTTTGGCCGAGTCGTTTTACCTCCGAGAATGTGCCAACCTCACAGGGTTGTTGTAAGGACTAAATGAAGTGAACCATAACGCTATGTCCAGGTTGGATGTTTTTCCTCTAACTTGTAAAAAATGAGTGGAGCAGAGGTCAAAAAGGCGATCAAGCACCTTTCACCATGTGGATTGTTGGCATTCCTGTAGTATTTCATATTTATAGCCTATTTTTCAGTAGTAGTATAGTTACCGTGGGTTACCTATAGCAACCCAAATGTGAGTCAAAATAAAACCCATAAGCAATATTTTACAACCATGAAAAAAAGTGATCAAATAATGAAAAAATATGCTAAATGAAAATAGTTAAGTCGGTGAGATTGGATGGAGAGATCCTTTCCATCTACTTTTTTTTTTAATGAAAATGGCTTTTCTAATTATAAAAGTTATATATGTTCATTGAAAAAAAAATCAGATATTCCAAGAAAATCCTGCCACTCTGATTGCTTCGGTTTAATATTGTTGGTGAATAGTTTTTCAGATATAGTGCTACTTTTACATTATAAAAATAAAAAATCATCAGGCATACCGCAGTAAGACCTCATCTGTCCTGTCACCTTGCTTTTCCAAAGGATAGCAGAGAACCTCAAAATAAATAAAAAGGCCCTAGATCAATTAAAATAAGTCACCAAATGCCTGCACCCAACCACCTGTGTTTTACTTAGAAAATAGTTCTAGAGCTTTCACATAACCAGTTTAATCGTACATTGCTTGAAATGTTTCTAAGCTACATTATGAAATTTCCAGACTGAGATTAGAACGGTGGAGAGTGGAAAGGAGGAGAGACTGCTGGGGGCCGGTATGTGATTTCCAAAAACTTGAAAGTGAGTAGAAGAGTGTAACAAGAACGAAAGAATTTTAAATGCCAACAGCCTTTATATTTCCACAAATATTTGAGCTACCTTGTCCGACACTGTGCCAAGATAGATATGCTTCATTTAGTGACAGAGCATAACATTCAATCTAGTTGTGGACATTTCCTGAAGAGGCCTATACCTCTTTTTCTAGAGCAAAAGTCAGCAAACCTTTCTGCAAAGGGCTGGATAGTAAATATTTTAGGCTTTTCAGGCCGCATATGGTCTGGGTCATATTTTTTTTTAACAACCCTTTAAAAATGTAGAAACATTCTTATCTCCCAGGCCTTAAAAAAAACAACCTACAGGCCATAGTTTGCTGACTGCTGTCTAGAGCATCACTGTGGTACAGACTGCTATAGTAATTGATGTTACTAGTAATGACTCTCTTCAAGAAAAGGTAAAATGGTACTCGTTAAATTTTATGTAAAAATAGGGTATGTGTTTGATTTTAGAAATAGTTCCATCAAATATATTTAAAGTTTAGTTACATAAAGGAATAAACTTTCAATAAACCTTCAGACATCTAAAATAATTCATTCCTTAGACAATCCATCTAACTAAATTTTTACTGTACTTTTTAGGTGAAGTGGCAGAAGAGTAAGAAAGCTAAACAATTTTCCCATGCACCCTACCTGAATAAGAGTGTCAGGGTTAAAATTCAGAGCCACTTTCTGTGAAGCTTGACCATCAGACATTAAGATAATTATAGTACTTTCCAAAATGAGTACTCTTCAAACTCTGGGAAGGGAGGGTGTTGAAGGCCCATGTTAGCATCTGTCAGGATTTTAAAATCTTGTTTCAGAGCTAGAGGAATTTAGAGATTATTTATCCCAGCCTTTTAGTTTATAGATGAGTAAACTGAGGTCCAGAGAAGTAAGAAGCTCTTACACTGTGGATAACCTTCCTAATTTCTCTTCTTTTGCCATTTTCTTTCCTTCACAAAATATCTAGGTTTTTACTCTTCACATGAATCATTAGTAAAAATTTTATTTCCCTATAGACTCTCTCCCACGACTCGCTACAAACTTTTCATGGTTTCTGATTACTTGTGCCTCTGAAGATCTTTAAAAAATACCTGAGTATAGAACTTTTATTAAAACCCTGCATCTGTGATAAACTTGGGTCCAACTTTGCTAGTTAGGGTACATAACATGATTGTATTCATTTCCTATTGCTGCTGTAACAAATTAGCACACACTTAATGGCTTAACCAGTACAAATTTAATACTTAAGAGTTCTGGAGTTCAGAAGTCTGGCATGGGTTTCACTGGGCTAAAATCAAGGTGTCTGAAAGGCTGCATTTTTTCTGGAGGCTCTAGTGGAAACCTGTTTTCTTGCCTTTTCCAGCTTCTAGAGGCTGCCCACATTCCTTGGCTCATGGCCCCTTCCCCCATCTTCAAAGCCAGCAATGGTTGGTCAAGTCTTTCTCACATGGCGTCACTCTGATGCACTCTTCTGCCTCGCTCTTTTACTTTATAAAAACACTGGTGATTATGTTAGGCCCAATCAGTTAATTCAGGATAATCTCCTTATTTTAAGGTAGCTTATTAGTAACCTTAATTCCTCCTTGCCATGTAACATATTCACAAATTCCAAGGATTAGGATGTGGACATCTTTGGGGTGGGGTGGGGGTCATTATTCTACCACAGTGGTTAAGCTTCAAGTAAAAAAATCTTATACTTAGAGCTTGAAGAATCTTTGAAGCCTATCAGTCCATCCTCTACATTTGACAGATGAAGTAACTAAGAGAGGTTAAATGACTCACCCCAAATCACACAGCCAGTTAGTGACATAGTGAAAGCTGGAATCCAGGTTTCTAACCTTTATCTTTCCATTATATCATTGTACCTCTAACTCTGGCTCGTGTTTATTGCCCTTTTCATCTACAGATTATTTGAGAGCTTGTAGTCTGTGCATTCATTAAGTGTTTACTTTGTAAGCTGATGAGGACTAACAACTAAGGATTTATAATTTTTGGGTCTAAAGATAGTATCTTCATTACTGTTCCTTATTTTATTTCTAAATTTAACTGTAACCAGCCTGAACACCCATGCCTGTACTACAGAATCACTTTAGAAATAAAACTACTTCAGTAACTAAGCCCTCTTGGACAGCATCTAAGTCCAACTCAGTTTTTTTATTACATTACTGTGTGCCAGACACTGCTAATTCAATCAATGAGCAACTTTTTTTTCATTTCTATTTTCAGTCTGCTATGAATAGTAATTCTATGTACTGATAATTTTTAAAAATCATTAGCTCATCCAACATGGCAAACAATGAACATTATTTAATATCCACCTGTATTTATCATTCTCTTCCTTGTTGAACTCTCACCTCTGAAGTTCTACATTGCAAAGATAAATCAAGCCTGTCCTCGTGGAAAATAAAGTCAAAGTGCCTCCAAAGACAGATTTCCATGAAAACCCAACAGCAAATGAACTTTTTTAGACATAAGTTTCATAGAACTTGTTAACCATACTTTCACCAATAATCTTTTCTTATGACATGTATGGCCCAGTTTTTCAATTATTTCTTCAACAAATATTTATTGAGTTTATACTATGTGCCAGGCATCTCCCTAGGTACAATGAAAAACATAGCCCAAAATCCCTGCCTCATGGAGCTTACGTTCTAGTGGAACAGGCGGACAGTATCAGAAATAAGTAAAATACATAATATGTTAGATAAATGCTAACAAGGAAAATAAAGCGCAAAAGGAGGATAGGAGTAGTAATTTTAGATCATTGGCCATAGAAAGCCTCACCGAGAAGGCGATTTTGAGTAAAGACCTAAAGGAAGAAAGAAAGCAAGCCATACAGATACCTAGAGGAAGAGAATATGCAAAGGCCCTCGGGTGGGAGCATGCCTCTTATGATCAGTGAACAAGGAGTCCAGTGTGGGAGTCCAGGGATGAGGGAGGGCAAGTGATGATTAAGAGATGTTGGGTTATACCCTGAATGAGATGAAAAGCCATTGGAGGGTTCGAGCAGAGGTGTGACTTAATCTGATTTACATTTTAATATGATCACTCTGGGGGCTATGAAAGAAAAGACTGAAGAAAAACAAGGGCAGAAACAGGGAGACCAGTTCAGAGTCAATCACAATAATCCGGGCAAGAAATGATGGTAGCTTGAAAGCAGTGCAAGTGGGGAGAAGTGAGCATCTTTCGATTATATTTTGAAGGTAGAGCTGACAGGATTTGCTGAGAAGTTTGAGATAGGTTAAAGATTACTGCAAGTTCTGTGGCCTCTGCAAATGGAAAGGGAAGTTGACTTTTGCTGAAGTGCAGATTGTGAGCAGAGCAAATTGGGTAGGGAGAGGGCAGTATCAGGAGCTCAGGTGGACGTGTGAGATTGGATGTGCCTATTAGACATCCAACTCAGGCAGTCAGGAAGACAGATATATGAGCAAGGAGTTCAGAGGAGAGGTCCAGCTGGAGATATAAATTTCAGAGTGTATAGTATATAGATCGTATTTGAATCGGTGAGGCAGGATGAGATCACTAGGGGCTCCTAGGGCACTCCAACATTTAGAGGATACACTTTTTACATAATTTATTTCCTGTCTCCCAGTCTCTCTCTACTCCTAAAACTTGCTTTGAGACAAGCTTAACACAAACTCATGTTTACATTTCCATGGCAATAGCCTATGATGTCAGCTAAAACCCTATGTTATCCTTTCCTATGCTCCAATTAAAAGTGATGGCTTGAGAGATACAGCTCATGTTCAACCAAGCACCTAAATTTAATCCTTGGCAAGTCAGGCAATGGTTGCTTAATTCTCAAAAGATTTTAATTGGAT